TGTTGAAACATGAATTTTTTTAATTTAAATTCTAAATTGGAATTGGGTGATGGACAGTGTTTAAGCCGGGGCCGAGATGAACTTGCGGTGAATTACAGCTGACGCACGGAGAAGCAATTTACAACGTCGATTAGAGCATGTATTATAATTAATTAAATGCGTACAACGATTGTTTTCGTGTATATAATTTTAATTAATAACATTATATAGTCTATAATAATCTTTATGTATTCGGGTTGTGTTTAACAATGATGATGATAATAATGTTTTAAATAACAATAATAATATAGGTTATCTTTAGTTGAAAAAAAAAATGTAAGATTTTTAAGGAAAACGTGTTTAGGCGTGAACAAAAAAAAATTGTCCCGACGCCAAAAATATATAGATACATAGAGATAGCTCAACAATCGCTTATTATGGTGTTGCGCAATTAGCACGGTCGCTAATCTCACAGCAATATTGTAATATACTATTGTATGTATAGCAGCACAATATAGTATTAATTCAAATATAATTTCAACAATATATTATGTCTTAATCGAGTTGCGCAAATAACGGTCGAGCATAAATATACTTGTACACCGCGATAATGGTATTAACGCGCGGCTTTAAAAACACTTAAATAATAATAATAACGTTTTAATATAATAATAATAATATTGTTATTATGTTGACATAGTTGAAAGTTTGTCACGTCGAAGTGTGATCCAAAGTGCCGTCGCACGAGATGTTTGACTGACAGCCGAGGGACGGTGGTGACGACGTTTTAATAGGTACGTGACCGTCCATTAAAAACGCACAATAACGCCGGTAACCTTGAACGCAATATAATGTGTACATCACAAATTATTATGTTTTTAGAAAAAAAAACCATTAAACGGAGGAGATTGAATTTTTACGTGCCGCCCGGTCTAATTACACGACGGTAATTAGCTGCGTTCAACACACACGTTTGACGCTAGTAGTAATATCTCGTTTACCTTTGGGTCGGGTTTAAGTCGCTAAAACCGTTGACACAAGGAGGCGGGTGAAAATGGCGAGCATTTATAATTTTATTTATAGACTACAGCTGCACCAGAGTAGTAGCCAGTCCACGCTACCGATAAATGATTATTACATCGTCGGTTCTCTGGTACTCGCGACCTACCAACGTACACCACCACGTTTCTCTTTTATGAGAAACCGGATTCCCCGACGTCGTCGACGAACGTTTCTCGTTTACTGACCTGTCTTCTTAGTGTCTTCTGTACCGCCGTGTAGTGTCTTTGCTCGTAGTAAATATAATATTGTGCTACTGTGTTGACGAAAACGGTCTTTAAGTCGAGGGTCCGGCCGAAAGTTCCCCCTCCCCCTTATTTCTTGCATTTGTGTAGTTTAATCGAACCGCAGAGTTATTTGTCGTGAGGTCAGATTTTCGGGCAAAACGACTAAATGATACTTCTACGCCACCGTAAATGTGTACCTACCACCAGTGTTATAATATTATTATAATAGTATATTGCAATAACCTTGTAAGGTTATGATAAATTGTACAGAAAATCGATACGCTCTATCTGTCTCCTCGGCCGCCGGTCGAGCATCACATCACGTTTTAAGGTCATCTGCCGTGGTGTCATCGCGCGCTTTCAAACACAGCCGATATTGTTAAAACGACCGATGGATTGCCCAGTGTTTGGCAACGCAACATTGATACCATTGGCCGCGGAGGTATGCGAAATGCGGGTTGCCCATGGCATATAGATATGTTTTTTAAAGACACACGGCCGTCTGTCAAAAAATACAATTATTATTCGACTCGACACTTGGACAGATCAAAATATCAATATGATTGACCAAACGCGTGCGACAAGTGCTACCTATCACTGCATTTCTCACAATCAGAAAGTCATTCTGTATCATAATATGTTATGTTTATCGTTAAAAACGAGACAATACCACAAAACAAATGAAATAAGAATGGAAACATTGATAATAACATAATAAAACATGAAAAAAATAGGACGCATTTTCTATGACCTTCGGCCATTTTCTCAGTGGTTGTTTAATTATTATATTTATATCTAATATATATATTAAATATGTATAATTAATTTATTTCGGACCACGCAGAATATGGCTGCCGGTTTTTGTTTACATAATGGCTTTCCATTCTGATTTCATTTATTCTGTGATAAAACCGCATTGCGATTAACGCATTAGAACTTCCGTGGAATATAGTATATTTTATAATATTATTAATTTTCACTCCTCTCGTCCCCGCCCAGTGTCTTTCGTTGTCGCTCAATAACAAAATCAACTTTATCGCTCGCTACACAATATATAATAATCAATTTTTAATAGGTCGAAACGATCGAATCGATTATAACGTTTATAACAATTGATCGGCGAGTAGAGTGCTAGCGCTTATGTCAATACACGATTGGAGACGGTGGCGTAACACCGCATTCTTCTTCTTCGTCACTCCTCCAGCCCCGATTCCTCGTACTTTGAGCCTTTTAAATAAAACAAACCACTACTTGAAGGAGTGCGCACAATGTTTACGGTATTATGATAGAGACGGCGTCGCTCGCCGAACGAATAGGAGGAATCGACGAACCACAATGTTCTTGTCGGGATCCGCGTTTCGCGTCGGTCTTCAAGATTATTTTGCATAATATTAAGATACATGCATAATTATATATCGGCTATTATAAGTTTTTTTTTTGGTTATTACCAGGCCCCGGACACTTATTTTCGGAGGACAAATACTATCACTGTTTATATATGTACATATGAAAAAATACTCATACTGCATTATACAAATACACCGATTGTCCTACGAGAATATTGCCCACTGTTTTGTTATCATTGTTTATTCTGATTGTTGTATTCAGTGTTATTATTATTGCGGATTTACGACGGTAGAAGAGAGCGACCGACTACGGTACGGTTAACGCCGCTGACCGTCAATGATTTTAGCGATGACGATACTTCTCGAAGAGATGACCCGTTCACCCTTTGCGCCGTCTTATCGGATACGATTATCGCGGGTTTTTTTCAAGTATAATTTCCGTGGAATAATAATAATTATTATTAATAACTCTTGCAAAGTTACCACGATGGTTAATTAAAACGCCCAATAACCGTCGTGCACCGTTATAATGACTTCTTATCAGCCGTACACTTTGTACCGGAGATATGGTGCGTTTCCCCACCGCCGCCACCGACTCCACAAAGTTTTTTTTTATTATTATTATTTTTTTTTTTTATATATACCTATACAATGTTAATTATAATTATTGTTATAATAACACACAAGCTCGCGACGCGACAACGTCATTACCGCCATCGGTAGCAAATAATACAAACACAATCGCAATCGATACCCAATCGAATTCAACGCTGGCCGGCGGCGTCGTCGCTAAACTATCACGTTGTCCGACTCGTGCGTTTTTCAGTTTCCACCGTTGTCATACTTAAGCAACAACAGTGTAACGTTATTATCATATTATTTTGTTGTACACCGGCGCAGGCGGCGACAAAATATATCATGTGCGCCCCTTCCATACACCACGACGATATTCACCTCTTCCTCCTCGCCCCCCCCCTTTTATTTCTTGGGCACCGTCAAATATATATAATATTATGTTATGTACATCGACCGATCGCGGTAGTCGCCATAAATTAGCATCAATAATAATAATAATAATAATAATAATATGTGCGGCGCTTAATAAACAACGTGAATCTGATCAAAGCGATTCGTGACCTCTACGCGTGGTACACGCGTAATAGTGGAGGTCACCAACCAACGAGCTCTCCCAATAGACCGGCAAAAATCGGTTTTTATTCAAATTTCTATGCTGCCCCCCCCCCCCCCGCTCCTTTCCACGGAACTCGCCCCGATTTTGAAAAACGACGTTAACAAAATCTTTGTCGCCGAGCGCAGCTCCTAATGTTTTAATATATCTATTTGTGTGCCAGAGGACTTTGGAAGATACAACGATAACCTATATATTATTATTGTATAAGCCTATTAAAACGAGAACGAATTACTGGAAATAATAACGGCCGACGGTTGATAACCAGCAGTTAACTCGGCATATTAAAGTTTAAGAGGGGAACACTGGAATATGTTATTATTTTTATCAGCGCGCATCACACAACTGAACGACTGCTGCCGCTTGAACTTAATGAAATGCAACTTATAACACGTGAGTTTAATGGTCCAAAACTTGTAATTAATCAGTTAACATATTCAAAAGAACATTCTCGGACTCGATAAGAGCATACCTATACCGTTTAAAAAACACCATTTAACACACGAAAAAAATAAAAGAGGAATTATGAACATATTTCACAATCATTGTTTATCAAACGGTGGTTGGCGAAAAACTGTAACATAGTATCTTTGGGTAACCTTATCAGTATAATACAACAACATAACAAGCGACCGCTATCTCAGTTTAAAAAGACAATTGGTTTTGCCAGACATACACCCTTAAACATTTTGAATGTGACAAAAAAAAAATTAGAGCGGCAAGGAATGCAACGCAGATAAAATCATCCCGAGGACGAAAATCCGATGTTGAAGAAACGTTTTCAGTGTTGTTCGTCGAATGAAACATTCTGTATACACAAATTGATTCGGCTAGGAAGGCTACCATTTTCATCTAGGGGGTCCGACGTGAATTCATTAATACACAATTCGCACAAGTTGGTACATAGGCCGTATATCAACGACTGACTCATAACATGTTATTATAATTTTAAGGTGCTTGTTGTTCGTCAAATTATTGTTATTACACAATGGAGTTGGTTTGCCAATTACGACGGTTTTTAGTTTGCCGTAAACGAGATTAAACGTCATGCAAGAAATAAGGAGCTCCGAGGGAAGGGGGGGGAGGACATAAGACAAAACTGAGTGGTCGCAAACATTAAAACACGTGGTGGTGTGCTGGCCACAGTACCATCTACGAAGACGGTGATAATAAAAGAAAATAATATACAAAAAAGCTCACCTTCCATCCGGCCGAGCTGTTGCTGTCCCCTTTGTCCTTGAAGTAAGGCACGTTCTGCACCATCCACTCGTAGATCTGCGACAGGGTGAGTCGCTGCTCTGGCACCGAGCTGATGGCTTGTGTGATGAGATCCGCGTACGACTGGTTGCCCCACGCGTTCCGTCGACTAGACGTTTTCTTAGCGGCGCCCGCCGGTCCGGCTACCAGCGACTGGTGCGGTTGTTGTGGCGGCTGTAGCGCGGCGGCGCCGGCCGGCCCGCCGACGTCCAGCGACAACGAATTTGGCGGCAACAGCTGCGACGGCGGGCTATCCTCCGGCAACTGGGCTCCCACGCCGTCTTCGGCGTCCGGTCTGGGCAGCGGCCACGTGTTAGACCGAGCCCTCTGCAGCGGCTCCAAACCGTAATCCATCGTGGTGGACGTGTGAAAAAAAGCCGGCGCGTAACAGTCAATCGGGTGGTTTAAAAGAAAAAAAAAACAAACAATTTAATAACAACAGCGAGGAAAAAAAAAATTCACGCGGGACGAGAGGCGAAAAACCGAAATGGAAAAGAAATTTGTCAATATCGATAATTACAATAATTATAATATTACAGTGGAATCACCGAGCCGGTATAACGAACGAAAGCCGTACATAATAATACATACACACTACAAACGTACACTTTCAACGGGTGCGCGTCACGAGTGCACACTAATTGCGCCGCAACTGAACTAAACCGACGTTGGCGGCGGACTCAGTCGGGACTGAGTGGACGACGGTGGCGGCGGTGGGTGTCGACGGGGTGGTGGCACTGTGACGGCGTGCGCGCGCGGGGTAAAAGTCATGAGGACGACACTACGCAGCATTGTACGTATATATGTGGAGGACGACCTCGACGCAGTGCCCGTGCCAGCCGCGGCCGACAGTGTGCCGTGGTTTGCGACGCAAAATTACCCGGCGCAGCGTTCCGTTAAATACCGTATCGTCGAATAACCATGACCTTCCCGACGGTCGAACGCGTAACCGAGGATAATGTAACGTCGTGTCCGCGATGTTATTGTTGTTGTTATTATTATTATAGGATTGTTATTGTTATTATTATTAATATGTCAATATTCGTAGAAGCCGGCGTCGCCGACCGGAACGTTACGCTCGGTGGCCGAGTGCGATGGGCTACTCATTTCTGGTTTTTCGACAGCGGTTTGGCTTGCGTAGTTTTAGAATAATTTAAACCGGCCGGCGCGGCAAGCCAAAGGGATGGCGCGTCGTTCCGGGTGAGTTTGATTGTATGCGGTTTTGGCCGAAAAACGTCTCAAACCCACGTGACTGTTCTGTGACTTAACTGTTTTGAGTAATTCGAGTATTTTTATACATCGTACATCGTAATAGTCGATTAGGCCTTGAACGACTGCGGCCGTTCAGGGAGCCGGGAGGGGAGATAGTTAATCATATCGGCATGCGTTATTCCCTCTCCGGCGCAACGCTATGATCATCGCGACCGCCGCATCTGCCACATCGGGCGGTTAGGATTTGTAATATACATCGGTGTACAAAATTATCTACTAAAACGTACAGTGCAATGTTTTTGCTCCCCGCATACGAAACGCTGCTGATAACTGTAGACACGGATGCGGCCGAAACAAAGCACAGCGCACCCCTTGGGTCTTCCCCCCCCCCCGATCATTATTCGATTGGACAATTACACAACATTTCGTTTAACCCCATTTTCATTTACGGGCAATCACCAAGTGCAGATTATAAGTCGTGTGTCTTAGTTAAAAAACCAAAAAGGTAAACTTGTTTAATATTATGACCGGTTGAGACTTGAGTCCCAATTGAAAACGTACCACAAACTTATGGAAAGATGTAATCGTTAATTTTAAATCGAGGATGTGCAATCCTCGATTAAAATTATATAACACAGTTTAAGATTTTAGTCTCTTTCTAGGGTACATTAAACGGACGAGAAGAAAATATGTCAAAGGCAATGCTCCACAGTACATCGTTTTCGGACTATTGACTTAAAACAAGTAGAATGAATGTACAAAGTATAAAATATATTCATGATTATGCCGTGAACGTTTCAAACAACTTGTATGTACCGCTATCACATTTTATTGTATGCAAATTATATTATACCGATTACATTATTTTTATTATCTATTAATATATTATCACAAAAGTACCTGTCATAATTTTACTAACCAGAACGTAAAAACTTTTTCGTTTTACAAGTGTGAACAATTTTTTTGTTTTCATTACCAATGCCCGAAACAAAATGTACAATCAAATCGGAAATGTTCCTTTATACTTTTTAATTATAAATAACAGTATAATATAATTTTTTTTTTTACCATTACGAGACTCGTAACAAAATAAAACTTTACAAAAGTAATAATTTCAGAAGAGTATAAAATTATACAAACAAATTGGTAACTAATGTAATTCTGATAACATTTCCCCCCCTTGACATGTGATAGGAAACGGTTGATACCACAGGTTCTTAGAATTTTATAACATTTTCCAGATAATAACTAATTTGGATACTCTCATTAGGTATACGCTTCTTCGTGTAATCTACGGTACTAGTGACGTTATCGGTTTACACACTAATTACAAGATGATTTACATAACACAATGTGGTCAAACTGCATAGACATTTCAAATTACAATAACATAAAAATACAAAATAATACTATTTAATTTGGGAACAACGAGCAGCCAACAGCTGTTGTAATGTATAACGTCCACAAAAATGTAAATACTAATGGTAGGTAATTTTTGTTGAAAAATCCATAACGTTTAAGATTATATTTTTATCATGGGAGATATTATTGTATCTAAATTCTAATGGATAAGATTACGCTATTGTTGGTCTTATAATATTATAATTATTGTCGTTTATATATTATTTACACGCACATTTTTGTCTGCAATATATATATATATATATTAAGCCGAAATATGTTAGATTTAATACCATATCAAAATCATTGATATATCTTTAATTATTTTTTTACCTTTACAATGATTTTATTACATCACACGGCAGCCCGAAACAATAACGAAGAAATTATACATTGAAAAAGATATTTAAATATACACGAGAACTTTTTTATAGAAGAAATACTGGTTATACTGCCACGGTTATTATACTGGAAAATAAGCATATTGAGAAATGTAAAATTCATGTATTTAGGTGTTTCCCACAAAACGAGGTTTTAAATGCATCTCTTCTAAAGAATATAACCTTGAAATTGTGGACATATAAATATTATATAATACAGTTATTTTGACGATTATATATATATTTTTTTAAATAGTACAAAAAATTAAAGTATCTAAAGAATTTGTTATTATAATTATTTTATAGATATTTTTTAATGAATTAAATTAATCGTGTTTTACATCTCAATTCTCAATGTGCCACCTTTTATAATATTGTAATTATTTAAGTTTATATTATTTTACTATTTAAGGTGTTCTGATTCAGACACTTTTAAACCTATTTTAATACACTTTACCACCAGTGCTTGAATTAGTACAAAAACGAGAAGGGATGCTGGTTTTAAGTTTAAAATTCAGCGTTTCCTAGAGCAAAATTGGTATTATTTAGTGGGGTTCGGATTGAGTTACGAAAAATTGTATGGTAGGCGGTAGCTTGTCCCTCCGTACACGCTTCCTAAACTAAAGCATTAGGCCATTACTTACCACTTACTTACTACCGGCAAGCTGCGTTATCGTTACTTGCTTGTTTAATCCAACATCATTGCAACGTGCAATGTTAGGTTACTTGTTAGGTAAAAACATTCTATTTTTATAAATTAAATATGTTAGTATAGGTATATAATATTCGAATTATTGTTTTTAAAATAATTATTATCTAAAAATCAAAAATAATTTATGATAATAATGAATAATAATAATTCAGTCGAATTTAACGTGAATTCTGAACTACATAAAAAAAAAAAGTAAAGCGTTAGGCTCTGGGATCACGATACTGAATGGGTTCTTGATAAATATGGGGGCTATAGATACTCTCTTAAATACTATTAATTAATTGTTATTTATTACTATCAAGTCAACCGCGTTTTTAATGCGACTTGTGATCATTTACATTAGTATGAATTTATGCAATTTTAATGAGCATTCCTCCGGTAATGATATCAACTACGCAAAAACGTGGCGTGTGTACGGCCAAAGTTAAAACCGAATATGATTCTTCGGTCCCACGCACAGGCCACCGATTATAATCTGTAAATCCGAAGAAATCTGAACAAGATAACGGTCTATGTAATTTGTAGTGTAATTATTGTCGTACCTAGTTTTGCAAACTATTCGGATAAGATAAAACAATATTTAAAACGTCACAATGCAGTTGTTACACGTGTCTCGTCTCCTAGTATGGCCAGTTGCGAGTTTCCACGTCGTGTACGAGAGCCTATTTAATAACAATTTATTATCATATTCTTATTGTTAACAATATATATATATGTACTGCAGTTGCAAAACATTAGACCCAGGAGATGATAATAGTTTATTCGAGCTAATATTATTATACTGTTTCACTGAACGTATAGGTATACATTATTTATTCATACATACACATTATATATTTATGTGTAGTGTATTTATATGCATTAATGTTCAACCGCTCATGGTCGATGCATATTAATTGTAAAGCGTGTTCTTTCTAGTAGCGAACAGTGGAATGTTTCGCAACGCTACTTAACTGGTAAAATGTTGTCTCATTTAATAAGTTTCCGAGTCGAGCGCTACCGCTTTGTAGGACTTCGGCGCACAAACAATAATATGACTTAAATATACACTATGATATGCTCATTGCAGCGGTATGATTTAATTTGCATGCTAACAAATTGGCCAACTAAGGCAAAAATTACTTAAATTTTGAGTATACTATTTTCATGTTAGGCGTCACTGTAAACAATTGCATTAAGTGTACATTTTTTTATCACAAATAATGTTTTTGAAATGTAATAACTAATACACTCTCTTTCGCGATAGTTTCCATACACTTGCAAATTATCTTTGCCTTTGATCATGTATACTAAAGAAATCATTCTCTACTCTTTTCTAATATTTTCCATGCTGGAATATAATATATACTCTATACAATCATCTACTGGTACTACATCTAGTGCTATTGTTTTTCCCTTTCCTTACTTCTTCCCGTTTTCAACTTTAAACCGACCTATTCCATTGTCTCCGGGGGATTCTTTATTAGAAGAAATATTATAAATGACAATTCTAAATGTTGACTTTTCTAATTACATTTTTTGAAGTAAATATAATTATTATGTTATAAAATTTGGACTATACGTACAATTCTAAAGTAATATAGCTTTATGACCACTGAGGGTATTTAGTGATACAATTTTAAAAGTTTAAAATTAAATTTGTGACCCATAACCGGGATGTACCATTTTAGGTATATCATAAGACAAAAATCGGCTATCTCTAAGTAATTTCAAAAAGTATTGTTACAAAGGCGTCATTGTATAGTATGTTGTCTTTATTTGCCTAACGCAGCAAGTATGAACAAATAACGATCTTGTATCGTTATTTTAGTATTATGACTTAAAGGTTTGATTTAAAACAAAACAACCTTGATCTACATTCCTATAGATGAGGTTTAATTTTTTTTTTCATTTTTAAGGCATTTATAAAACAAAGTATTTAGGTTCGATGTTTTTATTAAACTTTTAATATTCACATTAAAAAAAAAACATTTATACTAT